AGGACAAAGGCACTTAAGAGATGGCATGCCTGACTTGAACGTCTTCCAGGCTTGTGCGGTACAGAGAAAAACAGCATCATCAAGCTAAATTTTCAAATAATTTATGAATAAACAAGCTGTGTAATATATATAGCTTCTGCTTGCATTCCTCTGTTTCAATGTGTTCATTTTTTTATGTAGCATCTGTGGGGTTATCTCCAAGTTTGAAAAGTGAAGCCAATGCAGAATTTCTAATGGCCAACAGGGGGCGACTCCACTGGTTTCAAAAAGACCATTGTATAGAAGTCTATTAGAAACTGACCATACATCTCACTTGATTTATTACCACAGTAAATACAGTGCCCTCCAAAAGTATTGGAACAGTGAGTCCAATTCGTTTACTTTTGTTGTAGACTGAAAACATTTGGGTTTGACATCAAAAGATGAATATGAGACAAGAGATCAACATTTCAGCTTTTATTTCCAGGTATTTACATCTGCATCTGATACACAACTTAGAAGATAGCATTATTTGTAATGGAACACAAAATTTTTAGGTGAGCAAAAGTATTGGAACATATAAACTTAAAATAGATTAAAGTGAATGAGACTTAATATTTAGTTGCAAATCCTTTGCTTTCAATAACTGCATCAAGCCTGTGACCCATTGACATCACCAAACTTTTGCATTCTTCTTTTGTGATGCTTTTCCAGGCTTTCACCGCAGCCTCTTTCAGTTGTTGTTTGTTTTGGGGGGTTACTCCCTTCAGTCTCCTCTTCAGCAGGTAAAATGCATGCTCTATTGGGTTTAAGTCTGGAGACTGACTTGGCCAGTCTAAAACCTTCCACTTCTTGCCCCTGATGAACTCCTTTGTTGTTTTGGCAGTGTGTTTTGGGTCGTTATCTTGCTGCATGATGAAGGATCTCCCAATCAGTTTGGTTGCATCTTTCTTTAAATTAGCAGACAAAATGTTTCTGTAGACTTCTGAGTTCATTTTGCTGCTGCCATCATGTGTTACATCATCAATGAAGATGAAAGAGCCCGTCCCAGAAGAAGCCATGCAAGCCCAAGCCATGACATTACCTCCACCGTGTTTCACAGATGAGCTTGTATGTTTGGGATCATGAGCAGATCCTTTCTTTCTCCAAACTTTCGCCTTTCCATCACTTTGGAAAAAGTTAATCTTTGTCTCATCAGTCCATAAAACTTTTTCCCAGAATTTTTGAGGCTCATCTCTGTACCTTTTGGCAAATTCCAGCCTGGCCTTCCTATTCTTCTTGCTAATGAGTGGTTTGCATCTTCTGGTGTAGCCTCTGTACTTTTGTTCATGAAGTCTTCTGCGAACAGTAGATTGTGATACCTTCACTCCTGCCCTCTGGAGGTTGTTGCTGATGTCACTAACAGTTGTTTTAGGGTCTTTCTTTACAGCTCTCACAATGTTTCTGTCATCAACTGCTGATGTTTTCCTTGGTCTACCTGTTCGACGTCTGTTGCTTAGTACACCAGTGGTTTCTTTCTTCTTCAGGACATTCCAAATGGTTGTACTGGCTATGGCCAATGTTTGTGCAATGGCTCTGATTGATTGTCCATCTTCTCTCAGATTCACAATTGCTTCTTTTTCACCCATAGACAGCTCTCTGGTTTTCATGTTGGTTCCACCTCTAAATGCAGTCTGCACAGGCAAAACCTATCGTACCCAATCTGAAACTGAGCTCAGACATTCAGTGCTATTTATTGTTTGAATAATCAATGTAATTGGGAGACACCTGGGCAACAAAACACACCTGTCAGTCACATGTTCCAATACTTTTGCTCTCATGAAAAATGGGTGGGTTCAAACAAAAGGTGCTATCTTCTAAGTTGTGTATCAGATCCAGATGTAAATACCTGGAAATAAAAGCTGAAATGTTGATCTCTTGTCCCATATTCATCTTTTGATGTCAAACCCAAATATTTTCAGTCTACAACAAAAATAAAGGAATTGGCCTCACTGTTCCAATACTTTTGGAGGGCACTGTATGTTCCCAATGACTTTATGGTTTCAATTGCTACTTTCAATCTTTCTCAATACAGCATGACGTTCATTTTGTAAATTACGGTCCCATTTACAGTAAAATAGAAGGTAAAGCAGGGTGTCCACAAAAAAATGGGTGATGCAATGGTGGTGACGTCCACTTCTTTATACTGTCTAGTGTATCATCTTAAATCCTTGTTAATGTGGTGTTTCTATGCAAATCTAGGCAGGCTGCACACCCTTGTGTCATGTCCTACTCCTTATTTATATTCCTTGTAATGCTTCTAGACTCCCACTAGTAACTCTGTGTTATAAGCCCAGGTCAGACCAATGATTCGCGACAAGACGAAACCATTTTAAAACGTTGCAGAGAAAAGTTGCAGCGGTGTGAACTGGCTGGTCTGAGCTTGACTCAAGCCAGCTGATGTGGTGTCACCTGCAAATCAGCTGGTCAAATCGCGGTGGCTGGTGTTAGAACGTAAAACATTTCACCACTTAACATTAAATTAAATGGCCATACAGAAACCCTACCCACCACTATAAACAATATGAAACAGAGATTCACTGAAAGACAGTTTGTAAAAGAAACCACCTCCATACAAATTGTATGCAAATACTAGCAGCATCTGCATCCTCTGAAACATTCAGCAGCACTGCAGGGAGCAACAACTAAGCAGGAACTGAATTTCATAGCTGACCCTGAGAAACAAAGCTGAGGCACATTCGTAAAGGAGCAAGAAAGCGGTAGAAGAAGAGAATGAAAGGGAGGGGAAAAACAGACGGTGGGAAAAAAAGACAGTGTTGTTAGGAAAGCTAAATTGAAAGGAGAAAGAAAGATCGCTAGAGGCAAAGATGGACAAATGAGGAAGAAAGTGTTGCTCTCATAAGCAGATAGACAGCATAAACATTAGTTCCTCAGGGATAGTAATATTTGAGACGTGTTGAGTCGATTATTTATAGAGTGACAGACTCCTCCAGGAAATCACCTGTATGGGAACACATTAGAGTGCATCTGGCATGATTTACTTTCATATTGAAGCAATCATTTTGATGACAGTCATTTTGTTTCACCTGAAGTAATGATCAGCCCCAGTGATTCATGTAAAAGAGATTGGAAAAGTTATTTGGTCATTTGTGAATAATGTTAATGCAATGAGCCTTTGCCAGAGGCTCGCCTATGGTCACTCGTTGATTTAAATCAGACAAGAAGTCAATTCTAATAAATGGGAGGCCTAAAGAAAATATACTACTCTGATTCTCACTTTTAGGAGGCTGTTTTGATGACTAATTAATGATCAATATTCATGCTTAAGTACATTGATAGACAAGCGCACAACCTTTTGCCTGCTTTGGTACTAACCCTTAAAAAAACTACATATTTATTAACTGTCAGAAATAATGGTGAAGCTAAGCTACATCTATAGTAGCATGACTTCTTTTCCTGCAGAACAAATACAGAGTAAAACATCCAAGTTTCAGGGTGAAACATTCAAGAAAATCCACTGGAGGCTTTGGTTTGTTAACCCGTGTAGGCAGGCCGCCATGGGAGCTCATTAGGGGAAAGGTTTTGTTTTGTGTTGTTTTGCTTTTCCTCATTGAATTTTTCCATCAACAGCCAAGTCACATCTTGACATGTATCTTCATTTGCTGTAGCAACTGTGTTTTCAGGTTGTGAGGGATTTTGACATCACAAAGTTGAAGACAGTGTCTTATTTCCATATCCAAGCTGTTGTTATGTTCCTCAAAGACACAAGATGTGCTAAGAATAGGCTTTAGAGAGCGAGAACAGAGGTATCTTTCGTTTGTAAAGTGAAAATGTCTTTATCATTAGAGGGGCTGGGTGATTGTGTTTGAGAGGGTGCTAAATAATTTTGCATGAGGAGATAAAATAAAACATGACATATTTTAAATGTTTAGGTATGCTTTTATCAAGCACTTATTGAAAATAAAACATTCTTTCACCAGCTCCTAGAAGACAACCCAGTCTCACACACAACTCATCACCTGACACTTGGCCAGTGGCCCTCGGTATCAGAGGCACCCATTAGTGTCGGTATGAGACACACCAGGCGGCGGCATATTTTGACATTTTAGGCAACTACTAAAGTATAAAGAGCATGGAAATTGTAAATTGTCATGTAGTCCCTACAGACCCTTTTACTGTTGGTAACAGTATCATGTTTTTTGGTGGGTGGGGCTCAGCAGGAGGCAAAATAATTCTCCACAGACATTAGCTAGCACTAGTTAGCAGGTTCTGTTGGCTTGTTTTAGTGGAGGAAGATGATGCGAGTGGTGCATTCAGAAATACTCATTCTGAGTGCCGGAGTGCACTCTGACACAAACGGAGACGGAGCCGCAGAGCGTTAATTCATGTAGAAACAGAATGCTCCCTTACTTCAACCAACAGGGCTCTCACTTTAGTGTAGATTTTTGATGATCGCCTCCATCCACACCTTTCATCTTATCACATTTAACCATAGTTGTCTTTGTTATTGTTGACAGGCAGTGGCGGCTGGTATGTGATAAAATTTAAGTTTTGAGCCATGACTCCTTCTATTCTGGCTCCCAATAACACAACCAGCAACATCTTAAGACTCATACATCACCTACAGTCCTTCGGTGGAGAGTCCTGTTTTGCCTCCAGCTAACAAACTGACGTCATTGTGACACTGGCCCTAAAAGGGTCTATGCATCCAAAAGTGATGCAGGATGGGTACCTAATGCTTCATATTTTAATGTGTAGGCCCACTGATCAAGCTGGGAGCGAGAATGTGTTGTAGAGAAACAAAAGTTGTATGTATTTCTGTATTCGGCACTTTTTAAAAAAAAAAAACTTTTGCAGTCAGGACAGCTTTCGCCTGAAGGCATTTCAAACAGCGAATGCATAAAGTTACATGACCTGATTTTTGTTTGGTTTCCGTATTTTATCACTATAACTGACATACAGGCACAAAATATTAAATTTATATGAAACTGTTGCAGACTATCATGCAAACAAAGACATCACTTCAACCATCCATTATTTTATTCTTTAACCTTTCATCACGCTTTGAGGACTGGAGCCTATCCCAGCACGCACTGGGCATGACACAGAGAACCACAAGACAGGTTGCCAGTCTGAGAGCTGAAACAGAGAGAAAAACACATTCATACTTGCAATTTAGTGTTCCCAAATTACCTACAGTAATCTGCCACAGGAAACAGAAGCACAGATGATGGAAGAACATGCAAACACCACAAGGACGGGCTCACAGAAAAAAAACAAAATACCCAAACAGACAAGCCAACTGATGCTCTTTCATGTTTACTTCCTGCCACCACAGTTAATAGACAACATCCTATAACATCCTACGCTTGCCAAATGAACAATACTTAGTGTATTTGTACTGCATTTGATCAATAATGCCAAAATGAACAATAATTTGATCGACAATAAGTAGTTGGTTTTAGTCTCTGCTCTTGTGGTTATGACTCGGCTTGTATGGTCACTTTTCTTAGAATACGATAAGCTTATGGTGCCATAGTTTAACATTCCCCATCTTGCAACGCTGGTAACACTTTACAATAAGGTACACAAATTAGAGTGGTTACTGAGGAACTAATGAGGAACTAATGAGGAACGAATGAGTAGTTACTGAGGAAGTAAGGTACACAAAATTAGAGTAGCTACTGAGGAACTAATGTGGAACTCATGAGGAACTAATGAGTAACTAATGGTGAACTAACTATTAGTTAATGGTCAGTTCTTCAGTAACCCATGATCAAATTTCATAGAGGAGTTAATCCTGACTTAATGATTAGTGAACTAGTTACTTCATCAGTACAGAATCATTACTCAATAACCTTTTTATGTCCTAAAGTAAAGTGACACATAATGAGTAGTCTTTCATTACTTCATCATCATCTTTACAATTAGTTCCCTAACAAAAGAAAAATCACAGCAGGATTCTTGAGATGAGTTTGATTCATTATTTTCAGACCACATACACATTAATATGACCATCCATGTTATTCTGTACGATGATGCCTTAAGGTGCTGACACACCAAACCGACATGAAAGAACTAGCAGCGACTAAAGCCAACTGTTGCGTTGTCTATGTCGCCTCACATCGCCCTGTGTCAGTTGCATTTGAACACACTACAAAGAGTACATCTGACGGCCAAGTAGCACGTACGCACGTGCGTGAAAGGAAATAACGCAAAAAGGGAAACCTGCGCAGATTCGATCGCCGGCGATCAGTGCACAATGCATGCCAGTTAGTTTTGTGTCCGACTCTGTCCCGACTTGCTCTGACGTATTACAAAAGTGGACGACGATAAAATGGCGAGAACGAGGCGGCTGCAGGTTTTAGAGCCAGGCGTTGCAGTTGCTCTCCACCAACTGCACTGCCTGGCTCTCACCTGATCTAACAGCTGATTGGTTCAGATGTCGACTCAACAATATGACGTTTTAGATAAACTTTTCATTTTTTGTTGAATTTTAGAGATTAAGATTGTATTTGTCTGATTTGAAGGTTTATTCTGTGAACAGAAAACATGTTGTGTGACTGATGGTGAAGTTTAGTTATCAGACTAAATAGGCCTACATTCATCATAAACTATACAGAGTCTACTGTATATTAACACTGGACTTTTGTAATTATTGAAATATTTAGCAACACAGAGACTTGTGGTCAGTGGGATGTGAGGATTCTTAAAATAACATCTGTACAGATGTGAAGCCCTGACTGTATCTGACTGAGCCTTAATGAAAATGGTTTTTTTTCCTCGGAAAATATGAACCTTATAGTCAAGCACTGTTATTTAGCCCATGTAGTTGAGGGGACAGGTCAAACTGATATGATGCTGATTTACAGGAGAATTCATGTCAAATGGAGGATAAACCATGAACATAAACTACAGATCACCTGTAAAGCATTTTAATAAATTAATCTATAAAAATTAAAACAACTGGAGACTGAAAACAAACTGATATACGGGTCTGATCACTTTTTTAATGAAATGACATCATTCCAGACAGGATGTAAGTGTGTCTGTGACTTCCTGTACGGACTGAAGGCTGCTGGAAACTGTCGGGAAACTGTCCGACTTCACCACGGCTTTATGTCACCGCCCCCCGCTGCGGCCGCCTGGTCTCGTCTACTTTCCAGGCGAGGCGCAGTTCATCTCAAACGAGCCTATTAACAAAGTAGCGGAGTGAGAGAGTGATACATCCTGTCAGCCGAGGGATTTCCTATCTGTGCAGCCGAGCACCGCAGCACCTCCAAGGACTATTACATCCAGACGGTCCCGGTGTTTCCTCCACAGGCTCCACTTCACTCAGCTGCCCGACAAACCCGCTGCTTCTTCCCACTTTAACCTGAATAACAAACCAGGGCTCGGTGCTCAGGCTGGATCCAAACGGAGAGCCGGGGCTAGCTGGGAAGCTAGTGGAGGCTAACTGGCTGTGCTTCCCTCCAGTCATGCTGCGGCTAACACTCCGCTAGCCCCTCCCAGCTAGCCCCGGCTCTCCGTTTGGATTCAAATGAAGAGCTGTGGCTGATGATGATGAAGTAATGAAAGACTACTCATATGTGTCACTTTACTTTAGGACATAAAAAGATTAACTAATGGACAGGTTACTGAGTAATGATTCTGTACTGATGAAGTAACTAGTTCACTAATCATTAAGTCGTGATTAACTCCTCTATGAAATTTGATCAGGGGTTACTGAAGAACTGACCATTAATTAATAGTTAGTTCCTCACTAGCTCCTCAGTAACTACTCTAATTTTGTGTACCTGATTGTAAAGTGTTACTGCAACGCTGTCTACACATCGCGCTGACCCATCACACTGATAACGCTCAATCTCCTGCTCTTGCTTGCTCTCAAACACTCCATTTCCCTTTCAACATCATTCTCTCTCCTCATCACCCTGTCTCTGCCTGTCTCTCACAGAGTGCCTGTGAGTGGACAAAGACGAAGACAGACAGGGATTGTTGTGTTTGCATAGACGGGCATACACAGACAGACAGAAGAGAGACCAAGGGCAGAGAAAGTGAGAGACAAGGAGCATCGTCAATGATCCATATCCATATCACTACAGGTCTAATACATGCCCCAGCTGATGGCAGGCTGAACCAATCAGAGCATGACACACGTTCGGAGAGTGTCGGTATCCCATGGCTACAATTTCCCAGACCCCCCTGGGGCGTACAGAGGATTGTAAACAAAATAGAAGGGGAGCACAAAGGCTCACAATACACTGCCCATAGTGTCTGTCTGTCTATCTATATATCCATCTATGGTCTTTACTTCCATCTCTGCATCTACCACAGAAGAAGTCCCACCATGAAACAGACCCTTTTTCCTGTTCTTTTTTTTTTCCAACCCCAGGCGAGCAAAATTAAATCATACCATCCTCTGCTGCTGCCCTGGCTGTCTAGACTGAGAGAGAGAAAGAAGGTAGAGAGGTCCACATACAAAGCCCGAGGCAGGCGGAGGACGGAGACAGTCTGGCAACAGGTACACAGAGGGCATCTGGAGTGCTGGACTGAATTAACTAACTGGGTTTTCTGCGAGCTGATTCAACATGCAGAGGAAAGGAGACAGGGAGGACAGGCAGAAAATGAGGAGGAGGTTTGAAGGGAAAGTAATTGGGACAAGCAAAGGTCAAACAGGGAACAAAAGACTTGTAATTGTCAGAGTGAGATGACAGGACAGTGAAAAGAGGCCAGAATGGGGTCGTACAGGTGTGGAGGATTAAGATGGGAGAAATTTACAACTATCAGACAGAAGAGGCAGGAGTAAGTCAAAAGGTAAAATGGGCTTTGAACAGGGAAAAGGTGACATGCTTGAAGTGAACCGGAGATGACACATTTAAAATAGCTGGGAGGAGAATGATTAGAGGTCGTATGAAAGGTGTATAAAGTTCTGCTTCCATTAGAAATAGCCTTAACAGTAACAGTTTCACATCTCGCATATATTCAGAGGAAAAATGCTTTGCTTTTTTCCCCATTTTTGGGTAGTTAATACAAACAATTTTTGGCCATAAAAGGAAAGTAATGTTTTATTTTACCACTGCTTCTCTACAGTAATTGCATTTTGACCACAGTTAGTCATAAGTATAGATTATTGCTATTCATAAATGTTTAGAGATGTTGCATAGAAATAACTTGACTAACTGAAGAATCCCACTTGGTACAATATCAGTATTGGAAATGCTTCTGATACTGCTTAAAATCCTTTATCGGGTATCGGTGAGTATGCGATTCTTTGCACCTATCCAATACCACGTCATTTAATAATAGCTCACAAAGTCAATACAATTGTCAGTTTGTGATAAAAGCTCCAAATTTGTTACATATAGCTTAATATATATGTAGAAGAAATCTGAATATTGGGGCTTTGCAGAGTGGAATTCTGATCACCATGGCAGCAAAATCCAATATGGCTGCCTCCTGAAAAGTGTTTCAGCTATAACTTTTGAACCAGATGAGCTACAAATGCAAGCTTGGTGTCTGTTTTATGGTTTCGTTTTACCTTGAGAAATACATTGGAATGCAATTGGAATTTTTTTTTTTTTTTTAGTTGGATGCATTTGGGCCCCTTATTTGCATATTTCCAAGATGGCGGCCACCCAAATAGTTTCTTTTTTCAACTCTTTTGGCAAACTTGAGCTGTGTTTGAAACCGTCTACTCACTCACTCATTATTCCCTATTTCGTTTTTACTATATAGTACACTACATGGGGAACGACTGAACGAGATTTCGGACACTAACTGAAATTTTCTGAAAGTAAATGCGTCAGTAGCTGAGACACATACTCCTGTGACGCAAGTGGACGCGACGAGAAAAAAGTAAACAAACCGGGCGCTTTGAGGATGATCAAACTGTATGGTGGTTGTACTTTTTGTCAATAAATTGTTGAAATGTCAGTGGTGTGGACGTTTGGTTTTGTCAGCTACGGTTGTGTGTCTGCATTGTGAGCTGTAATAGCCCACGATAGTGCACGAGCTAGACGCTACCTAGGTCGTGCAAGCTAAGTGGCTATTGTTAGCTCGTGAGCTAACGTTACCGGCTAGCATCCTATTCGTTTCTTTTCTTTGCGGTTGTTCTTCTCCTCCTCTGGCAAAAGACGACCGTATTGCATTGTGGTATACAGGAGTAAAATGTAGGGTACATCGTTTGTTCACTCACATTTGCTGTGCATTGTGGGTATTTTAAAGTCCACTATATAGTGAATGAAATTAACCGCAGAGAATTCGAACAACACTACAAAATGGCGAACACACTATATAGTGCACTATATCCGTGATAGGGAGCGATTTCGAACATAGCTTTGGTGTCTATTTCATATTTTTAAGCATCACACACACAACAAAATCTTGTTATTATTATTGTTATTATTTAAAAAAGTTCTGTGGCATTCACTCTCTGTATGCATTTCACGTTCACGTATAACAATGGGTTAAACCTGAGCTATGCCATACAGCTGCGATAGCAATCATTTCACATCCATAGAGGGTTAGCAGTATACAGCTGTTGAGTTTTTTTAATGCATATGTATCGGATCAGTAGTTGAATCTGCCGATGTCCAAGTTCAGGTATCGGAACGTATGCAATCCCCCATACTGGACTCTAGTTTCTAAGAGGCAGGTGTCTGACTGATGGACACTGTATGTAAAATCAAAGCTGTATTCAAATAAGTACTATTACTAGGTACCTTTAGGTAATATTGTTTGGTGTGGACCCCAGGAAGAATAGCTCCTGCTTTGACTACAGCTAATGGAGATCCTAATAAATGAGATGAAATGAAACCAAACTAGATTTACTGTAGTTCATGTTCTTCCAGTGTTAAGTAATTGGAAGCTTTTAAACCTGTGCTTTCAAAGAACCTTTCCAAATGCTGCCTGTTACTGCTTCACAATAAAAGCCACCCTATGTTTTTCCAGTTGAATCTTTTTAATGTGAGGCGGCAGGATTACTAAATGTTTGATTTCTGCATTAGCAGTAACTTAATACAACTCCGATGAAGCCGTGGGAGAGTGAGAGTGAACAGATATCAATGAAATAAATCAAAAGCTATTTACCTGTGAATCTGTTGTGCATGTAAAGTCAATTTAAGAACAATGCAGAAATGGCGAACTCTGTAGATGGGCAGGCTAATTACTAGGGTTTATTAGGGTTTAGCTGAATAATCGGATGAAAAATATATAAATAAATCAACTTCTGATCAACCAATATTAACTTCAGGTTTAAATAACTTCTGGTTTAAACTCCACCCACTTTTGGTTTAAGTGTAACAGTGTCAATTATACAGCAGTGATATTCATAACAAAGTTAAATGTACATTTGTAATATTAAGTATTGTAATTACACAAAATTTGTTCCAGCTGTTATTATCTGACACGCTTAGGCCTCCATAGTCAACATGTGGAAAGTTTGATACTCAGCTTCTGTACCCCTATGTTCACCTTTGGGGGTACCCCACCTATAAAGGGTTGTCTCCAGCCTTACCGCTCCCTTTTTGTTGTTGTGCTCTGTGGGAGAGGTAAGCGACATTGCTCTTGTTGTAATTTCTGTGTTTTAGCCCTGCTAAGATATGTTAATAAATGTATTGTATGCTAAAATAATCCTGTGTAACTTAATTTGTGTAGGGGCTCGAATTAATATGGTTATATTTGAGGGAGGATTTTGTTCTTACCTCTTGTTGTCAGCTGTCCGGAATAAACAGATCACCTCCAAAGGTATCCACGGTCTAGGCCTCTTCATATCAACACAACGCAGACAGCACAAGAGTCCACTGGCTACATAAGCTCCACCTGTTTTTAGTAAGGACAGAGAAACAGGTAATTTAGTTGGTTAAACAAATACAGACACAGATAAAGACATGCCACAATAAGAGCCAAGAACTTGCGCCAGCTTTACGTCGAGGGAATAGTAGACAAAAAAAAAGGTTGAAGAGTACGAGAAGGGGTGGATGAGAGTAAAGGGTTATGCAACTGGGCGGGGGGCATGAGAGGTTACAACACTGCAGCTGTGTGGAGAATATAATCGATTGTGCTGAAAAGAGGTATGAAATGTTTTACCAGAGACAATACATACTATGTGGTGGGCAGTAAGTGGGTTAAGAGGTGACAAAAAGGGGGAAATGAAGGTTAGAGTGAGGCTGAGGAGATGAAAAAGAAGGAGGCGTTGAGAGGGTTATTTAAGATGACAAGGTTAAAAGGAGGGTCACTAAGGTTACTGCAGAGAGAAGCGCAGAGATGAAACTAGAGAGGAGGAGAGGATAAGCAGGAGAATGAGATGGGTGAAGAGGGGTGGTGAAGGCACAGATTAATTATAGTAGTAGATCCACTGGGACTTGCACAGGAGACTATAAGAGAAAAGAGAAGTTAGAATGTGAAAATATAAATGAGTGGAGATGAAAAGGGTGAAGACAGTTGAAAGACTCCAACAATGGCATTATCTAAGTAGTGTTAAATGATTATATTTAAAAAAATATTGCCATCAGACTTGGAGAGGATGTGGTTCATAAAATTTTAGTGGAAGAGAGGCAGCGACTGAATACAAGATGAGAGAGGGTGAGGCAGACATAAATGCATTACAATATCAGGAGGAGAGGAGAGTCTTTAGAGGAGAGACAAGGAGCGGGGAGAAGGGTAAGGCTAGGTGAGATAGGGTAAGTCAGGGTGTTGTGTTGCAGTGTGACCAGGCGAGCCCCAGAGGGTCTCAGGGTTGCACAGAATTCCTAATGAGGGAGAAACTGCAAACAAGAGCCTGAAGTTACTCCTGGGAAATGTGCAAACCTCCTATTGAGAAGACTCAGCCTTATCCTGTCTTCATCCTCTCTCTCTTCCTCCTCCTATCTCTGGAGGGAGCACATTTTCACACACACACATGCAGGCTCTCCCATATAAGCAACATGCACACTAGCATTAGTTTCTATCCAGCCGTCTATGCAGACACATACTTCAGATTACATGTATACAAGTGTCTTGTCAGGAGGAGGAGGGAATGGTGGATGGTGTTAGACCCAGGTGAGATGGCTGCTAAGCTTCTAAGCAGCAGAGCATGTTCGAGACCAACAAAAAAAAAAAAAAGGTATTTTTCACAAGAGTTCGGGACACTCCAGCCCTGTTTGTGGCGACAAAAGGCAGTATTTTTTAGCGAGATTTCAGGATATTTTCAGCCTTGTTTGCAGTGACAAAAGCAGGAATTTTTTAACACAAACTCAGACTATTTCCAACTGTGTTTGTAGCAATATGAGTAGACATTTACAGCCATGTTTGTAGCAATGAAGCGAGTATTTTGAACAAGAATTTTGGACATTTTCAGCTGTGTTTGTATTGACAAAATCGGACAATTCCAGATGTGCTTGTAGCAATAAGAGTGGTTTTTTTTGTTGTTGTTTTTTACAAGAGTTCCAGATATTTCCAGCCATGTTTGTAGGGTCAAAATCTGCTATTTCTTAAAGAAAGTATGGGAAATTTCCAGTTGTGTTTGCAGTGACAAATGCAGGTATTTTTTCAACACAAACTCAGACTACTTCCACATGTGTTTGTAGCAATGAACATGGACATTTATAGCCATGTTTGTAGCAATGAAGCAAGTATTTTTAAATAAGAGTTTGGGACATTTTTAGCTGCGTTCATAGTGACAAAAGCGAGTATCTTTTGACCAGAGTTTGGGACATCTTTAGCCACCTTTGTAGTGACAAAAGCAAGTATTTTTTGACAAGAGTTTGGGACATTTAGAGCCGCGTTTGTAGTGACAAAAGTGAGTATTTTTGACAAGAGTTTGGGACATTTTCAGCCGCGTTTGTAGTGACAAAAGTGAGTATTTTTTAATGACAATTTGGGACATTTTCAGCCACGTTTGTAGTGACAAAAGCAGGAATTTTTTAACAAGAGTTTGGGACATTTTCAGCCACGTTTGTAGTGACAAAAGCAGGGATTTTTTAATGAGCATGGGACATTTTTAGCTATGTTTATAGTGACAGGAGAGGGTATTTTTTAAAGGAGCGTTTGGGTGATTTTCAGCCATGTTTGTAGTAACAAAAGTGGGTATTTTTTAAACAAGAGTTTGGAACATTATAGCCGTGTTTGTAGTGACAAAATCTAGCATTTCTTAAGAAGAGTTCAGGAAATTTCCAGTCGTGTTTGTAGCGACAAGGGAGCTCGGAAAATTTCCAGCCACATTTGTCGCCCCAAAACCAGGTATATTTTAATGCAAAAGCAAAACATGATGTTTTCCTAACTCGATCCAAGCATTTTTTATGCCTAAACATAACATGTTAACCGCATCATTTTTACAACATAAAATGTAAAAATTGAAACATATGCATCAACCCTGAATAAAACAATCAAGCAACATGTGAAAACTGGGAAAATGCACAGTGTGAGCTCACACACACAAAACACATTACCGTACCCAACCTGGCCATATGAGACAATGCGAGCGCATGGGGCCAGCGGTCCATTCAATAATGGCTCAAATTGGAGGAAATGGGTTCTGAAATTACATTTTCAGGGGTTCTCATTTTAAGTGCATGACTGCAGATTCACATTCATTTCCTTTGGGACTCGGTCAAGCGTCACATCAATCAAAAATCACATAGCTTCATCTTACAGCCATTCACAAACTCTAATGAGCCTAACAGGATATATCTGATGAGAAAATGTTTTTGTATGCAATTGAGGAGAGGCTGTCAGGCACCTAATATGATATATCTGTTTTATACCTTTACAAGAGCCTTTGTAAATGTGCAAGAGCCTCAAGTATGCGGTCTACAACTCTTCAGAGCCTGAATGAACTTGAGATTTCGGGCTTTAAAAGGCACTCTCAAATGAATGACACCAGCAGTACAATAAGCTTGAATCCTCCATTGTTAACATTTCAATCAGCACACAGTGATGAGTATAAAGGAGTGCAAGGCCACAATACACATACACAAACATCGTGTATCATTGCTATTCAGGCCACACATTTTACATCTGCCTTTTGCATTTGCCACATTGGCCATCACTGATGCAGAAATATAACCATCATGCATTAAAATGCACCTGATGCAAAGCAGTATAATCTTGTTTCTGTGAATTAAAACATCAAGAGGGCCCACCCAAGCCACAGGAGACTGTCACACTGCTGCCATCTAGTGTTCAGGCCAGAGGAAACACAGACGCAACACAAACATGCTTCTTGGGGAAATAAATTTAGATTTCTGAGAAGGCAGTAACCTCTTTGAACCTTCATTCTATGGAGTGTAAATGAGATGATACAGTTTTATCGTCTGATGTAATAAATGTGACAGGAATTATAATGCCTCTTACATTTTCTGCTCAACTGTCACTCCCTTATATCTGACACTTGGCTGACTAGGATCCACCAACACATTCAAATGCACAAAACATACAGGGAGACAAAGACAACAAACTGACTCAAGGTCTGTAGGGTTATATATGGTGAACACTGAGACTTGACCTCACAGACAAGCAAATGTTTCACTGAAGGACAGGCTTAAGAAAGTGTAGCAATGATTGCATGAAGTATCACGAACACAGTCATCTCACAATCAAACCATGTCTTTTAAATCTACAAGAACTTGTCTTGGCGGCGCTAACACGCATCAGAGAGAATTTATCAGTACAAAGGACAGACAATGACATGCAGCACACAGGGAAAATGAGCAAGTTTCATTGTTTGACTTCTATTCAGTGAATATTCCACAGTTTGCTGGCTACATAATAAGTACGCCATTGTGCAACATCAAGTCTGGCAGTCCTCTGAATTAAAGACAACATGAGGATAGGATTAGTTTGTATCGCCACCACCCAAGGGGTTGCAAAATAACTTTGTGACATCATGAGATAATTTACAGCTCGGTGAAAACATTTTTTATCTGAATTACAAATGTATTCACGCATCGATTTTTCTCATTTTACCCGGACTTTCTTTGCATGAAATAATATTTGTCAGGGTGACTGTGTTCTCTGATAAATGAAATTATACTGGGAAAAATAGCACACAGTAATACAAAGAAATCCAATATATGAGACAGAAACAGAGATGGAAGAGGTCAGTGCTGACTCAGATTGGCTTCACTGCACAGAATATTATTCATAATATCCCTGAGATTATCTGCGAGGAAACTAATTTTTCTGTCCAATTCATCTTTGTCAGGCCTGTTGTATCATATAATATGTCGCGCCTTTAACTTACATGCAATATTGAAAAATGTGTGTATTGTATGTGAACATTTAAAGGGACAGTGCACCCTTAAATCAAAAATACATGCATTTCTTACTTGTGGAGCTGTTTATCAATCTAGATTGTTTTGGTGCTAGTTGCAGAGTGTTGTAGATATCAGCCGTAGCGATGTCGGCCTTCTCTACAATATAATGAAACTAGATGGCACTCGGCTTGTGGTGCTCAAAGCGCCAAAAAGTTAGGGCTGTCCTCTAATACGCGACAAAACATTGGCCAACCAGATAGGTCATTAGTCGGCAAGATTTCATTGGTTGCTTAGTCACAGAAAAAGCAAACAAACAAATGTGAAACTCTATTAGGAGCTGTGCCTTGTCAAAATAAATCAAAACCTATTTGACCGAACCATTTTAATTTGAAAGGACAGACACAGGAAGAGGCCACGCTCAGCAGTCAGACAGGAATCACATGTCAAACAAATCACCGCAGACAGATATCTTTGGCTTCTTCTGTAAATATCCAGTCTGATAAACACTGTAAAGCTGATCACTTCAGTCATCTGAAACATGTTGTGAGGAAGCACCACCCCCTTTTTGCTAGGACAGGTGGACAGTCTCTCACACACAATTTTCTTTGTTTTCTGTATTTAAGTTACGGTTTCAACATTAGTTGAGAAACAAACAATTGCACTAAGCACTAGAAAGAAGATGCAAGTTTTTTTTAAGTTTTTTTAAGAATGAACTAAATAATCTAAGCCATCACCTGTCAGAGTTTGGGTCGTTTGTGGAGGCCATTTTGTGCTGGTGCTTAAAGAGGAAGCACGCCTCAACAACAGCCCTTTTATATGGTGTAGGAGTAGGCGGGCTCTCAGGCTTGATTGGTCAAAGGATGTGTGATGACAATGACAGCTAATTAAGATAAATACTGACTGATGTACAAGTGATTTGCTTACTTTGAATGTATAGCATTTACAATTACATATTGAAGAGTGACATGAGGCTTTGTTGGTATGAGCAAACTAAGAAAATCACTGTATATTTGTTGTTGACCTTGTCAACCCTCCATTCTACAGTGCTGACCTGATAGGCAGCCCCAGCACTGTTTGAGCCGTGTTCATGAGCACAAGGTGTTTTTGCTTAGTCTTTCTTTTGTTTCATTTTGTTTTGGAGACTGAAAATAAAAGTCGACCTAGTTTTTTCAGCATAACTCCCTGCCAGTGTGATGTTTTTTTCCTTGAGTCTCATCATGCGTCCCTGCACCTCACCTTGCAACACATGTCAGTAGCTACTCAGCACAATCATTACTGCTTTGCCCACAGCGTCATTAACAGAAGGCTCGGTCAGTGTGTGACGTGCACTTGTAGATAAAATATAGACCTATATTAATGAAGGTTCATTAGTACGGTTTTGTATTTCTCTGTAATGTAGCACAGTGTCAACAATGTTACTGATACTATTCTTTCTCACACCTTCAACTCAAACCATTGTGTTGCCCCGTCCAAAATATATAATAGCTAGTAGCTCAAAGTCTGCTGCTACACATGACAAATACGGCTGCTGTTACCTGTAGAGGTGCACTTACTGGAGGTTGAGGAAATGTATGAGATGTGCCAACATGCATGTGTGTGTGAGAGAGGATCACATTTTGTCAGCTGGCATATATACAGCTGTATTTGACCCGGACATTTGAAAAATTTGTCTCGCTCTCGTTTGTGAATCGGCTGCGCTGGTTCTGGGTCACGACTGAGTGGGTTCAGGCTGCAGTTCAGGCTGCAGTTCATTCTGCGCTGAAGCGATTCTGATAGTTTCAAACCATGCAGGGACACACTGTTATCTCTGTGGCCCAGAAAGACTGCTGATATCTCTATTTCCTCTGAGTGCACACACACACACACACATGCATTCACAGTCACATACAAATACACACATATAGCACATAGACATTCACAAAAACACACATGTATACACACACTGTTTGGGCACACAGAACTGCACCCTACAGAGACGTGCTGACACTCACACAGCGCTCACAAATACTGTTAAATACACAAACTGTGGAACCGTGAAAGACTGTTCAAAGAGGTAGAATATGAACTTACACAAATTCATACTTTGTGGAAACCAAACAAACACTAATGCATGTATTCAGCACACACTGACACACCCTCTTCACAACGTACGCCAGTCAGAGATGAAACGAGACACATCTGAAGAAGAAGTGAGTGAGTCGCAGCACCAAACAGCACCATGTCACACACTCATTTAACAGCCTCTGACGAAAAACCACTGAGTTCCCTTTACTGAAAATAAGCCTTATCTACAGGATCACTCAGCAGTGCCCCTGTGTGGCCATCCAAGTGTACTGCATACACCCTGCAAGCAATTGCACAACCTAAGGTTATAGATAACTGTGTCATGATACACTTTCTTAACCTTTATAAGAACACTTAATTTGCTACTAATTTCCAATCACTGTACTTGTCAAGTATCCGCTCAGCATATTTTGGGTTTAGCTCTGCTGGAATAGTGGCTGACTGGCTCAAATGTTGTCATTGAAGCCATGGTGTCATATTGAGATTTACAGCATGCATATCTTATAATATCGCTGATTTGTTTGGTTGTTTTTGTTTCGTGTTGTTATTTATTTCTAGGTCACACCAATGCAACAACAGCAAGCTATTATTATTACAAGTAACCAGGAAACCATAACAGGAAGTGGTGTCAGAGATGCTTCATCAACAGACCTAATTTCTTCACTCAAGCCTACTGTTAAATTTACACTTAAATGCATCATGAACATTGTGTTTATGATACAGGCTATCTTTAGTCACACAGGTGTAGGTACCTATGACACGTGATTTAATAATTCTGATGAAAGACAAATTAGTTTACCACATTTTTTTAAACAAATGAGTTCATTGAGATATTGATCCATCATAGCAACACAGTAATCTGCTGTAATTATCATTAATGACTTGTAATTGAACAGCGTCAGGACGTCGCAGGGGGACGTGAGTTCAATTAAAAACAGAGCCTAAACGTCCCGTCTCCACCACAGCTCTACAGCTACACCGCCTCCTCCATCATATACTGCCTTCAGGTGCTGTTGGAAATTTACAGATGATTTAAAAGACCCCCCCCCCCCCCCATCTTTGTTTGTTTTCTCCTCAGAGTTTATTGACCTTTTGACCTCATGCATGTGGCACATACAGCAACTAAACAAGCAGCTTTTGTTTCATACATCATGCTCATAGTTAGCCTGTAGCCATTAGTGTCTGTTCATAGTGCTCACAACTCCTGTACTGTAGTTTGTCTTCAGGTAAGTTTGCCTTAAGTCGTTCTAATTTCTATTTCTTTGAGTTCCCAGCTGCTGGAAGGACATCTCGCCAGGCCGGAGCACAAGAAGTGCCCCCCTTTAAGCAGCGCTCTTAAACACAGGAAGTGGCCAATCACAGTGTACCAGCAGAGCTGCATTCCTCAGTGGTTGTTCCTTGATCTCGGCTTGTGCCCAAAGGTGATGGGGCCTTTGCTGTTAGAGCCTCCAGACTCTGAAACACTCACCATCTTTTAAATCCCTTCTGACAACTTTCTTTAATAGGAAAGAAATTATGATTATTTTGCCAGGTTTTTTAATCCTCTTTTTAAATTCTTCTTTATCCCCCAGGGTTTTTTCTTTATTTATTAAAACTTAGTTGTTGTATCATTTTTACGTGTGTGCCATGTTAAGGAGGGATCGGGACTTGTGGGTTGTTTTTTTTTTTGCTCATTTCTTCTGACTATATTAGAATGTTGCTGCTTTTATTTTGGACAATTGCTTAAATATTTATACTGAATGACTAATTGTTCTGTTTTGTTTTATTTGCAGTTTAGCAGGTAGTGTTTGTCTTTGTATTATCCCCTTTGTTTCAATAGAAATAATGGACGTAGCCACTGTGACACATCACCTGTTGGTTTGTAGACTGCTGTTTTGAAGCCTCGAGCATTTTGGCCGTCGCCATCTTGGAATAATGTGGTGTAGGTTAGATTATAGTTTTAGTTGACCTCTTTTATGGCACAGTACTTTGTTATATTTTGTACTTTTGAGGTAAATAAAACCCTCTTTTTTTGAAAATCCACCTGTCTCTCTTCATGCCAGCTCGGTCCTTCAACTGCATAACAGACACACCTGGATCTATCATATTAAATATTTATATCAGGAGTAACATAGTTGTGGGGCGGCACGGTGGTGTGGTGGTTAGCACTCTCGCCTCACAGCAAGAGGGTTGCCGGTTCGATCCCGGGCGTGGGAGTCCTTCTGTGCGGAGTTTGCATGTTCTCCCCGTGTCAGCGTGGGTTCTCTCCGGGCACTCCGGCTTCCTCCCACAGTCCAAAGACATGCAGATTGGGGACTAGGTTAATTGATAACTCTAAATTGTCCGTAGGTGTGAATGTGAGCGTGAATGGTTGTTTGTCTCTATGTGTCAGCCCTGCGATAGTCTGGCGACCTGTCCAGGGTGTACCCTGCCTCTCACCCGATGTCAGCTGGGATAGGCTCCAGCTCCCCCGCAACCCTCAAGAGGATGAAGCAGTTAGAAGATGAATGAATGAATGAATAACATAGTTGTGGTCTGTGAATACTTTTCTTATCATATCCAAGCTGCTGAGATGACATTTAATAAGCAGCGAGCACACTGCATCAGTTATTTGTTAAATGTATGCTTTATCATAATGTTATTTTGACTAATGTATGAAAAACATAAATTACCAGCACATTTAAATCTCTAGTGCTTGAAGTGAAAAGAGAAACCTTTACAAATGAGTTACTACAACCTGTTATTATTTTAAATTGAGTCATTTTAAAGGAACCCCACAGAGTCTTTGACCACTAGTGGCACCACAGAGCTGTGTTTTTACGAGGACGCACATGTACAAGCATGCAAGAGGTGCAATTAACGTCCTGGCAGATCAGCGGTTGGTGACGGTTGCATGTCAACGAGTGTGGCATTGTGTCCTTCCCAGGGCAGGGCAGAAGATTGCTAGCTTGTAAACACAGATATAAACAATGCATTCAGATTAAGCTGTGTCTCATAAGGAAGGAAATGCACTAAACAGAAGGATGGTGAGTCACGCTAAATATAAACACAACTTCTGTTTGCTCCAAAGAAAACACTGTGGGACATTTTAAAGCGTAAATGTCAACAGAAGTTTTGTTTGCTCACAAAACACGCTCTAATGGACATTTTTGAGCGTCCCAAGCTGGGTTCATAAGAACAGGTTTTTACAGGGAGCACTTGAACGCAGCAGTCGCGCCGTACAGTTGCGGGAGATGCTTGCAGCCGCAGCTCGCCTCACCGTGCGGCCGCAGCGGAACATAACAGAAAAACAATGTGTGGGAAGGGGGAAGCTGAATCTTCCCACACAGAGTGACTGATCATGGCCAGTCGGTGGCGGTACGGACCTCGCAGCCGGTCGGGAGACCCCGCCGGTGGGCTAAAAACGGCGCGAATGCCCCGCCAGCAAGAACCGTCCGGGGAGACAGAGGACGCGGCGGAGTCGCTGCGGGAGCTGCCGCGGTGGATGCGGCTGTACTTCTACGGGATGCACGGCGTGACTCTGGATGTCCTGCTCTCGTCGCTGCGCGGTGTGTTGAATCATCGGGACCCTAAACTGGTGGGCTTCTCCTCACCATATCTTTGCATCATGCATTCACTGACCCACTTTGCGCTGGAGAAGATCTACTCTCAGAAGAGGTGTTTCCGAGGTCGGCCTGTGGTGTTTCATCTTGTTTTCTACCCGTCGGTCTACATCGGGCTGCAGATCCTGATTGG